TCCGCCAAAGATTAGTATTGAATTTCTTTCGTATGATGATTAGAATCCTTTATTTCTTTTAATCAAGTTTTCTTTTATCGATCGTAACGTCAGTCATCATTTTGTTCAAATGATTTTCGAAAAAAATCCGATTATAATCACTTGTCATTCATTGATTGAAGTTGTACAAAGTCAGATTTTTGTTATCCACAGCTAAACTTAGTCAATTTAAACACACACACACACATGTCAAATTAATTCGAAATAATATGTCAAATGATTTCAAAGGTGTTAATTTTTTGAATGAAAAAGATATTTATTCAGAATGATGAATGAAATAAAATTTCAATGTAAATTGCACAATTTTTCTGCACTAAATTTTACGATAATTTTTCTGATTGATCCAAAATCATTTGATGAAATTTATATGAACGAATCGAATCGTTTTATTCCATTTAAGGTTCGATATTGAAAGTAACATCAATAATACTTTTATATGTAAATTTTTTCTTGTCAACTCATTGTCCCATTTTTTAATCATATAATGATCATCATAGCAAGCAGCTGTAGGAAAAAGAAAGAAAGATTCTATTTATATTTTTGTACATATGATTATGATTGTTTTATTTATCTATAAATTGTGAATATGAGAAAAAAAATTTAATTTTAGCCACTATTTATCATCACATTCATCCATTGTTTTATTTTGTTTTTTTAATTTTGTCCATGATGAGTTGATAATGTTGGTTTATGCTGTTAATCATAACGTTATAATTAATGCTACTGTTGAATTTTTTTTTAAATCATGCGAATGCTTGATGTTTTATCATAAACTTACTCTTATATGCCCATTTCCTTTCAGTTTGACCATAGAAATTATTTCCAAATCTCAGTAGGATCTAAGGTCAACCACACACACACACACTTATACATACATAAAATTGACAAGATTTAAAAAAGATAAATGTCATTAACAGCACAATTGTATGGCTGTATTTGTATGGAAATTCATATTGTAATGTGTTTAATACATTGTGGACAAAACAATTATCCTTGGTTTGGTTATGGGAAAGCGAAAACGAATGGTCAGAATAGAATGAAGCCGAGTAGCAAAAAAAAAACAAGATACATTGTTGCCGGTAAAATGATGAAAGGAAAAGACAACGGACAAATTTTTGTATTGTTTTGTTTTGTTTTGTTGAGATGAGGCTCATGGCCTATTATTGGATATGATCAGAAGTAATTCCAATATGATGTTTTTTAATGATCATTTAGATGATTGTAATAGATAGCATCTCATTCATATATTTTATATTATGCACATTGTTTTTTTTCTATGAACCACATGCATGCAATTAAATAATTATTTTTGACATGAAAACAATCACATGAACAATAAAATTTTTCAGCTTCCTTTTTTTACTTTCTATCATATTTGTTCTTATGTATTCAAAACAGAAAAAAAAGAAGATATTCTCTGTTAACAAATTATAATGAAAATGTTTTTGGCCACAAGTTAATGAGAATTTCATTAATTATAAATCTTGTTACCCGAACGACAATCTTGTGATTGTTATTTTGATTGAAGAAGTATTTGAAAATGTGAATTTCAAGATGTCGCCAACGTAAACACATTTATTTGTTCACATTATTAATAATAATTGTGATAAGAATGGACATATATAACAGAAACTAGATTAATTTTGTCAAAACAAAAGAAATTTCAATTAATTTTCTATGTTGCCCGAAGAATTTATTTCAAGTTGTCCCGACGATATCTGTGTTTGTCCTTGTTACAAATATCTAAAGCCAAGATAATTGTTTGTTTTCTACAACGAATCTATCGATTAATAATTGATATTGGAATTCCATGAAAAATTATTGTTTTGATTTATATATTTTCTTGTTCTATATAATAAGGTAGATAAATCTGTGACGGTAAATATCCGGCCTTAGAAATCACATGATTGAAAAAAAAAGATAATTGGCAAAGAATGTTATTCAAAACAACATGACATTTTTGTCATATTAATCTCAGTCGGAATTTTATCATAAAATTTAAATCAGTCTTTACTTTTTTTCATCGTTTTCTTTCTTCACCCGATAAATAAAATATTGGTTTTCCAGCTGTGAACAAACGTTTTTTTTCTAAAATAAATTCAATATAACAAAATTACAAATGGTTTCCTCTTCAAAAATGTTATTATGACACATCCGGATTCAAATAGATAACATAAATCACCGTATGTCGTGTGTAAAAAAAAATATTTGCCTAAATAGATAATTCAATCAGGAAAGCGTGCCGTAATCATTTTCAAAAACGGTATGTTTGTTTTATATATCTCATGATAAAAAAAACATTTAGATATGCTGATATTTATTAATAAACACTAGTTATAAAACGAGAGCAATACCGAACCACAGCCAGATCGTTTTGGTTGTTGTTTAAATCATTCAAAAAGAGTCAATCCTATTCTATTTCAAGAGTGAATAAGACGACGAAAAGATTTATTTGAATTACTTAACGAATACGGAACAAATAAAAAATTATTTTTAACAACATTGCATCACATTTTATTGAGTATTAATCGATTAGACTCCTTTCCTTTTTGAATGATATAAAAAGGTAGCCATTAACGCCAATAGTGTTAATGATGATGAGAGCCACATTTCTTGATGATCAAATCAATTTTGTTGTTCCATACTTCAAACGAAACATACTTATTACTTTTATGCCAATTTATTAGTTTAATTGTACATTATGTTTTCCATTCATCGAAACATTTCATGATATGATTGATGATTCAATCATTCATTTTTAAAAAGGAAATTCGTTATTATTACTATTAAGTTTATACTCCTCTTCCAAACTTCTTTCTCTTTCAATTTAGTGCATAAATTATCTCAGAATTCAGTGAAAGAAAATTTGAATCGATGCTTTTCGTGTTATGTCTGGAATTTATATTACTATTTATATTTGTCATTTTTTGACACAGTGAAAATTATTTCAAAACAAATGTTTCCCTCTGGAACATATGTCATTCAATATTTCTTATGAAAAAAAAAATTCAAAAATTTGAAAATAAAGAAATCTTCATCAGTTCATTAAAATGAATCAAAATTCCAGCAATATAATCAAATAAAAAATTAAAATCAAAATGAGAACAATAAACTCATTCACTTTCCCTTACATTATTGGATTGAAAAAAAAGAAACCGTCAAAATGTAAATCATTGCCAAAATGTATGGACAGGCGAAATATGGATCAAAAGATGAAAAGTTTTTATGCGGTCAACATTTATGGTGAATAAAATATGCTCTCTTTTATAATTGAAAATTCGATTTGAACGTAATCTTGTTGTTCGTCATTAATAAAGGACTGAAACTTCATTTCAGAAAATAATAATGATTTATATACATTAAAAGACTTTCATCAATTGAAATGCGTGCAATCTTTTGCTGAGATTTATTTGAATTTTTATTTTTTTTCTTATATTGTGACCATCGATGCGAACTTGTTGTCATACATCATGCTAACGTTCTCTTCATCAGTCATTTGATTCAGCAGTTAAAGTCCTACGGATCATTATTATCATTTATCCGTTTAAATATATGTGAATCTCTTTCTATATGGCATCTAATGAGAATTCAATCATGGTATAAATGAAATCGGCATTCATTCGAATATGGCACAATGGAAACGTTTCAATGTAGATCATCATAATAAGAATTGAATAAAATGAAGCAAATCTATTGTTGACTTCCATCATCATTGTTCACCAAATTCTTTGAAATTGTGATGAATATATTTTTTGTCAGTTACCTGTCATTTGGAACTTTTAAAAATAATTTTGTTAACTTGAAGAATCTCCAATTGTTTAAAAATAATTTGTGTACTATTAAAAATTTCTCTTTGAATTTGCAGATGACACAACGATTTGAAATTTAGCAAGCATAATCATTGATGGAACATGTTTGTTTGAACATAATATAATGTTTCCATTTTGTCATTTTATTTATTTTTATTTTAACAACATCCGTTCATTTGTACCATTTGTACCGATTCTATATGGACATTCGATCCGACCGTCGAATGTAAAATAAAAACATTAAACGTCCGTTGAAAGCCATTAGCGTTATGCCATTATTTCCTTTAAAGATTCTTGAATTTCATCATTATCATTGTAAATTCTTTGATGAATCATTCTGAAAGATCTTTTTTTCAGATTCTATCGTTTGTTTGTTTGAATCTTAACTTTCAATAAACTGAAATTTCATCTCACTTTTTCTGATCCAAAAAAAAATCATACATGATGATGAACGCTTCAATATAATGAAAATTGCCATTTTATAAAAAAAAGTACAGAGTAAATTATCACCGAAAAGTCGTTAAGATTTTCAATTTTCCTTATGAAAAGGATGTTTTCTTTTCGTAAATGGACAGGAACAAACGAATTCACTTCTTTCATTGAAAATGAGGAACGACAAGAATTATGATAGAAATGATTCAATAAAAATTCTGTCGTTATGTCACGCTTTAACAAAAATCTTTTTCCTATAACTCTTCAAACTATCGTGTAATTGGCTGATTTTATTTTACCCTATGAAATCGAGTGCTATTCAATCTCCTTTTTTCATAATGAAAAATCTAAATAATTTTTGAATTTTATTCCTATTTTTTGTTGCTGACATAGATTATTTTTTTACGCCTAAATGAACTGATTCCATTTTTTGAATTCATTAAAATAGATGAAAAACCTTTCTGGTAATCGAAAGTTTGATGTATATTTGTTCAATAATGAAAAGGCTGAAAACATATCTCTTTTTAAAATGTGCAAATCGATATCGAGTTTCTTAAGACAATTCTAATTCAAAGAATTTTCAAAACGGAAATATTATTATTTTTTATTTTTTCTAATATGAATATTTCAATCGAGTTTTAAATTTAAAAAAAAAATTGTGTTTTACTTTAATAGTAACTTGGCTTATTTATTATATTTTTTTCTAATTTTATTCTCTAGGAAATCATTTTATTGGAACGCTGATGATTACCGATAGCCAAACTCATCACTTCAAAATACTGCCAGAATTGAAGATATTTTTCAAATTTCGCACACAGTCAAGAGTTCCAAACGATAAACATGGAAGAAATTTACATTGTAAAATTAAAAGGACTATCACCGCCATCAGCCCCTAGTCATGATTCATTGTCAAAAGATTCAAAAGCCTCGTTTTATTATCACACAGATTTAACAGCTGAAGCTATTAGAGGATTTTCATATCTTCACATATTCTTCGGCATAACAGTGCTTAGTTTATCCGTCACCAATTTGTGTTTCCATGAAAATCCATTAGCATTAGAGCCACCTTTAGGGATTACTGTTTGGTGTGCAGTATCTTTTATTCTTTTGGGATTTTTCGGCATTCTCACCGCTTATAAACGAAAATGTGATTTATCTGGCTCCATATTTTATGTAAAATTTCAATTAATATTGATCATCATTGTTCTTTCATTGACATTAACGTTCGCCATATTGTTTGCACTTGGTATAATTTCTTTATTTTGTTCGTTTTCAATGAAAATAATTCTTTTGTTTTTCTTAAAAGATTTACATGGACCGATTGCTAATCAATTTATTGGATTAAACATCATTTTTTCCATCATAGTCGAAAGTGTAATTTTATTATTGACGTTGTTTACTTGTGCCAGAGTTTTATGGCCTGGATGCCTAAATTTTTGCGCAAAAGATTGGCCTATGCAGCCCAGCTTGAAACGTAAAATGATTATAAAAACAAAAGTTTTCGCTAATGGAATCCAACAGGTGAGTCAGTTTTGATTCATTAACCAATAAAATATTTATACACACAGTTTGAAAATTTCTAAATCGCTTATTAACATGACAAATCTCAAACTAAAAATGAAGAGTGAGAAAAATATTTTGATGATGTCAATCCAGTTACTAAATTTAAATATCTTTCATAGTTGGATTGTTTCATCATTTGAAGTCGAACGAAATAACAAAAAGAATGAATAATATCACGCTCATTCATGAGTTTAGTGTCTTGTTTGTCTCCCAATGTCCTACATCAGAATTTTTTTTCCATTTCATGTAATCATAAAGAATGCATAGGATACAATAGCTATGAAATTGTTAGATATATATGAGAAAATCTCCCACAGGATGTCGAAGCTATTGTTTTTGGTTACTGAAACCTAATGATACTGCAGAAAAAAACCCATTAATCTTCAGAAGAAATGTCTTTCTCTAATGATCATGTTTTTTTTTGGTTATTATATACATGATTGAAAAATTGAATTTTTGTCATTTCACTGGCAGGTATTAAACATTTATTATCGTCGTTAAAAAATTGCTAGGAAAAACTAAAATTTAATCGGTCATAAATTTTTAAACTAAATTTTTTTTATATTCATCTCCTTTTTTATTTTGAAACAGGATAAAGCCAACATTATACAAAGTTTCGGTCCAAATTGTGTTATATCTTTGAATATGCCTCCAACGATTGCTTCTGATCATACATTATCATCAAAGAATTCGTCAATTTGTTCATCACCAATATATAAAAACAACCTTGGTAATAATAAAAGATCATCATTATCTGGATCGACTTCTGATTTAACCAAATCCTTATCCACAATCTATGCTTTACCTGATGAACAAATAGACAATAATAGTATTTATTGTAAAGAACAAATTACAGCAATTTCGACCAATTCAATTTATTACAATTATCCTGTTATTGGTGTTAGCACTACAAATTTATTGCAAACTTTTCCAACTGTTCGTCACAATCGTGAACAATTATTAACTACAAATGATTCGAAAATGTTATCCAATCAGCAATCTTCACCAATCATGTACATAAATGATACATCGACAAATAATTCTGACCATTCTTGGTATCGCGGTAGTGATTTGTATTCTGCTTCTGAAGAAACGGATCCTTACGATACAGATGAATTTGATTATTGCTCCACAGAAGATGAAATCGAAACAGCCGATAGAACACTTACAAAAGAATTCAACAAAATGAGTAGTGATGATGGTATGTTTTTTCGGTATAAAATTCGTTCTTCAATTTATAATTGATAAATATACTTTATTTTGATACAGGAAATGGAACATTAGAAGATGAATCGATTTCAAACTCATCAACCAGCTCATCAAGTAAATCCGAAGCTAACAATGACGAAGAAATGTTCAACGATTGTAATAGATCTAACGAAATGAATAATGAATCAATGACTATAGAAGCTCATTCGAATAATGAGTCGAACTCGGAAATTTCATCAATCAAAAAAGTCATTGATTTTAAAAATAAATCAACCGAAATGAAACCAAATATCGATCAAGAAGCTAAAAATGATTATGAACAAAATGTCGAACCTGAACGATTTCCTATTCAACTTAAATCATTTTGTGCTACAAAAAATAATAGCCAACAAGTATTGCCATATAAGAAATCATCGATAATACAAATTCAATCCTCAACAAATCCGGAATCGAATGTTCTGACAATGCAGGATGTGACGAATTTGAAATCTTCAAAAATAAACGAATCTTCATCGATGGTGATTCCCACAACAACAACAACAACAACAATTCGTTTGCTTAATACTAATAAAACTGCCTCAAATCATAATAGATTGAATATCAATGAAAATGATCACGTTGCTCTGGTTAAAAATCAAAATTTGAATCAATATGTAACGAAAATGGGAAATAAATTAACATCACATCCATATCTATGTCGATTACGAGCTACGAACGATGAAGCTATTGAACAGAATTCATATTCCAAAAAGGCTATAGCTGTATCGAAGCAGATACCAGATATTCAACGAGTATAATTTGATATATGTCTTTTTTCTTGTTTAATCATCATTTGTATTATAAATTAGCATTTCTCAATGCCGGTGTTTCATTATTGTGTTGATATAACTTTGATTTTCTCTCCTGATGATCGTACCATAATTATTTATTTTAAAGTTTAATCCCTATGTATTTAATAAACATTATTGTTTGAATTTGACAATTATATTATCGTTTTATTTTTGACAATAAATGAAAAAATTATGAAAATTTTTATACCAGTACAGTTTCTCCATCTTTTGAATTATCAAATAGCCATATTGTATTAATTTTCGTTGACAGATGGCAGCATATCTTTTCCGGAATAAAACCAAGCGAGAAATCAAGTAATAATTGATAGAAAAAAGATTTTTGAATATCAATCAACAAGTTTTAGTTAAAAAATCAAACAATCTGAATATTTATTGAAATAGTAAAATAATAAACAAGAATACGTACATACAGAATTTGTAATGGTGTCTGTGTGTTTTTTTCAATTAAAAATGAACAATTTTTCGATATACAACAAACATCAGAGAAAGGATATCAATTTGTCTTATTATACAGAAAACGATGAACAGATAATGGGAGTGGGAATAATCATTGCCAAACAAATCGATAATAAAATGAATTTTGGATGTTATCAATGAAAATTAAACACTTTTGGTAATTGAAGAACGTGGTACAATGATTGACATCCGTATTCGAACGCCAGAATAAACATTTGAACGGAAAATAAAAATTAAACCACCAATTTGTCATTGGAAATGAAACGGATATTTTTTTGCGAATGAAATAGAAAATTTTGTTAGATGTGATCAATTATTCAAGTGTTTTTGTGTTGAAAATACAAGAAATGTTTAGCAGAAAATTCACTTTATCAAGGAATAAACGTCAAGGAAATAATTATTTACAAGACAAAGAAAAGTAACAAATTTCATCATTGTGATCTTCATAATTCAATAACAAACTTGAAATCACAAATTATCATAAAACTTACAATTGCAATTATATGTGATAGTGTATTCGTGTGTTTATTCTGTATTTTTGATGGGTAGGGGAGAATCTGATGCGGTTATACGGATGCGTAATAGAGATGTATTAACCGCATGTGTTGCGCGAACCGAACAAACATAAAAGGGTTGATGTGAAGAAATGATTTTCCGAAAAGAGTGAATTCTTACATATAAGAAAGAAAAAAACAATTTGCCAGCTTTTATGAAAAGAAACAGGGGGTATTTTTAATATAATACAAAAGTAATGAAATTAGCAACAGAATGTTTTCTCGTATTTTCAATTTACAATGACAAGGTTCAGAGAAAAACAATCTACTACTAATCAAACACATCATGACAATGACGATTTTGATGATGATGATGATGATGATGAGAATGATGATGATGAAATAGAATAAAAAAAGTGGATAGAGATGAGTGAATTATGACGAGATTCCTACTTCGAAGTTTTTGTTCCGAATTTTCGCGAAGATAACGGGATGGTTGTTCATGAGAAGAGATCATTAACATTAAGTTCAAACATGATTTGTACTATTGGTTGTCGTTGTTATGACCACCATTAGATGAGATATTCCTGATAAGTGATGCAACATATCCGGTGCAGTCTGTACGAGATGTTGTTCAGAGAAATCGCATGGCGGAAATATATGTGTGATATAACCCTGAAAATATTGGAAAGATTATTAGTGATAACTATAATCTTAAAATAAATGTCAATAACTTACAGCTGAATCATTGACGATGCCGGCAGCCAATTTGCTTTGCAGATAGGTGATGAAATATTTTCTCAGATTATTGCTTTGTGTTAATACGTCCACCTGATCACGACCACAAGGAAGAGCCAACAAAATGCAGCATTCATCTTTGGACTAAATGAAACAATCAGACAAATTAGATTCGATGAGAAAACAAATCAATGAAATGTGTTACCTGTATTTTATTCTCTAGTGATTGCAATTGACTTGGTTCGAATCGCATACGCTGTGTGATTCTCAATGAAGCAGAATTATTTTCAAGGAATGGAAGTGCTTGTACAGCAACGTTTCGATTTCCACAAACATAATGCATCTGAACCGCAGCTTGTTCGTTTTTAAGTGTCAATAGACCTTGCCATAGCATTGGATGTCTTTGCAGTATAACATGTTGGGAAGTATTACTGCTATTGCTAGGATAATTTGGACCATTTTGTGGTATCACATGAGATGATGCCACCGAATTGGTAACTGGTGGAGGTGTTATTTGAGATGATTCGGCATTAGAAGTTCGTTTGATGTTTGTAATAGTGGCCTGTTCAACGGAGCACTCAGAAGATGGTCTGCTGAGTGGCTGAGGCAGATTCGGAGATAATACACGTTGATATGACATATTCAATGGTGGACTGGAACTTCGTACGGATTCTTTACTTGAACTGAATTGATTGGTCATTTGATTACGGAGAATTTCAGCGTTCAATTCTGCAGGCATTTCTTTGCGGTAAGCTGGAGAATGTGCCGGTGATGGCAAAGGTCTTGGATTTGATGAATATATTGCTGTATCCTGTATCGTTATTGATGGTTTGCTGGATGGTCGTTTTTGTTCAATAGATGGTGATTGCGATTGTAATTGTTTCGAGATTTCTGTGTTATTTGGTAGACCACCGTAATTCAACGGAGGCATAGAAAAATTACGACCTTGACCATTAAGTCCATATTGCAAATATGTTGGAGAATCATGAGGTGCAATCAACTGACTAAAGTGGCGTAAATTAGGGTTGATTGGATAATTTCGTTGAGAAGCTGAACCAAGACCAGACATGTCAAACGTGAAAGGCTGCTCTTGACCAGGATGTAATTTGGGTTCTTCAATGAATGATGGTCGATGTAACCCTTCTTTTTGTTGACTCGCTTTCGATTTTGTTTGTTGCGCTTGTTGTTCAACTTGTTCGGGATTGATACCTGGAGGTAGAAACGCAGGTCCAGGATATATGAAACGATGGGCTGTCAAAGGTATACCAGGTATTCCTGGTGAAAAATTTGACCAAATTAATGAATTGTGCATTGCCATTTCATAATCATATAAATTAGCCGATGTTACTGGCGGTTTGATTTGTGACATGGTTGCTGCAAAAGCTGGATTTGGCATTTGATGATTAGTAGTCTGTGTGCTTGGTGGTAAATCGTTGTTATTCAATGATGAGGTTATAAATTCCGAAATAGAATCTGATTTCTGATTCGTAGACCTATTGTTGTTGGTAATTATTTGCTGTTTTTGCAACGAGCTCAAATAATCTTTTTGCTGTTGAGATTGAATATTAAATACATCGGAACTGATTGTTGATGTCAAATGATGTGGACTAGTAGAAGGCAATAAATTGCCAGGATAAGGTAGATTTAAATCTTGAGTTTGAGCATTACTACTACCAGCCACTTGAAGGACGGATTTATTTTGTGTAAATGTTTTGTTGACAATCGGAACCGATGAATGTGATGATTGGCTACTTAGATTCTTAATCGAATCGGCCATAGATGGCGGAGTTATTGCTGATGGCGATGATATATGACACTCATTTTTAATTGGATCATTAATGACCACAGAGACCGAAGATGACGTCGGAATATTAATAGGAGACTTGGGTCGTATCTCTGCAGCTTGTCCTACAGGATGTTGATATTTAGGCTTAATCATCACTGATTGAACGTTGGGAGTGCTCGTTAATGATTCTGTCACTTTTGATTGCTGTTGTTGGCTGTTATCATGACCAGATACGATAATAGGAGCTTTAAAATTATCAAAAATTAGACCTTTGCCTGTTTTTAATTTCACTGGCGTATATGGTGAATGATGGATACGATCGGAAATGTTTGGTATATCTTGTAAATTATAATTTGGTGATAGTGTTGAAGTGATAACTGTAGATGGTGAATTAGAAACGACAACAGTTGACGAATTAGTTATCACTGGTGAGATATTAGTCAATGTCGATGGAGTCGATAATGGAACAATGATTGATGTTGTTGCTGTAGTTGTGATAGTTACATCGGGCGTTAATATCTTTTCGACATTGCCAGTTGATTGAATAACACTGGTAGATTCGGATTTTTTATTTTCAGCGATTGGTGCATTGATCACCAATGGATGATATTCAGGTGTCGATTGAACAACAGTGACAGATGATGTAACAGGATGAGAAATAGAAGGTTCAGAAATTTCCAAAGAAATTTGCGTTGAAACGGCGTTGGATTCCTCCTGTGGTAATTCTTGACATGGAATTGTTGTTAAGGTTTCTGGAAAAGTCGATTCATCTGCTGAACCAACATCAGGATCATTTTTAATCTCTAAATCATTGGTTTGTTCTTGAGCCGAAGATGATCCACCTTTAGATCTTGTAATTCGATGTGCACGCAACGAAGTTTTGGATTCTAAATTTTAAAAAAATTTATTAGTAAATTGTCATTATAATAAGGAAATAACATACCATCTTGATCATCTGAAGAATCTTGACTACCAGTAGCATTACCTGAATGTTGAGCATCATCACTTTTACGATATGAACGAGTAACTCTTTTACAGTTTCCTTTCTCGTTCGTAGTTTCATTGGACAATTTAGTATTTTTTAATGTCATTTCGTCATCTTCGGTACTGATTTTGGTACCTTGAGACATCAGCCTAGCAGATTTTCGTACACTTTTGATCGACTGAGCATTATTATTGTCACCAGGAACTAAGCTACTGGTGATTGCACTGGAACATTCTTCTGATGATTTAATTTCATCTTTGGTTGGTTTGCCTTCAGAAACCCCAATAGCCGAATCTTGTAATCGAATAACCAATTTACCACTCGGATTGACTTCGGAAACATATTCTTTTGAAACACCACCACTTGGAACAAGAGGACCAGATTGTTGAGTTTCAATAATATTTTCTTGTTTAACAGTCGTCAAGGTGGGACAAGTATTTTCAGCATTTTCATTTTGATGACGTTTCTCAAAATGATGTTTATCCTCCGTCATTGATGACATAAAATGAGGAGGTTTGATATGATCCAAAGTTAACGGTCCTTGATCTTCATCATCAGTGAACTCGAAAACATCATAAGGACTAATCGAAGATTTCGGGCGATTAGTATTTGACGCATTGCTGACAGTCAATAATGGTTTTTTGGTGTCATCAGTTTTGATATTTGATGCGTCGGCATTTCCGGAATTCTTTTTCTTTCGGCCTCGTTTCGATTGTTTCTTGACACCATTTTTAGTATCATCTTCATGTTCTTCTTTATTCGATTGTTGTTCATCCATTGAATAATCGGTATCTTCAAGTTCTTCCAATGTGGTGCTATTAACAGCAGATGCAGTTACAGCTGCTGTACGCACACTTCTTCGAACTGAACTAAAGATATTATAGCCGGTTGTATGTTGCTGCTTGCCGCGTTTTGTTTGGGATCCTGGTGATATATCCGATGAATAGGATGAAGCAACTGGAGATTGTGAAGTTGGCGAAAGTAAAGCTGCATTGGTGACGGGCAGATTTGTATTAATGGATAAAGTTGTCGATAATGGAGTCGATTCATTTTGTCCTTGTTCACTTCTTGGAGAATGCAATGATGAATCAGAATTCTTGCGATTTTTAGCCTTTCTTCCTCGTTTAGGTTTGCTGCAAGTATTTTCGTTTGAAGTATCAATTTCCAGTTCATCGAATGCACGTTTGTTGCTTTTATTAAGACAGGATTCAGTGATCATGGGCGTATCTTCATTACCAGATGATAAATTTTCTTCTTTTCCAATTGATGACTTTCCTTCAACGTCCATGTTTTGAAAAAGACTATTGTCAATTTTCTCGATAGTATCTTCGTGAATGATCTTTGGTTCTGCCGTATAAGTTTCCATCAAAACTGAATCCTTGTCCAATTGAGCTTCATTTGATTTGGCAATTTGTTGTTGTTCAATATTCTGATGTTGACCACGCGGAGACATGAAAATATCCAGTTTAGGTGCCTCCTTGTTGTCATTATCCATAGCAGTCAATATTGGCATACTCAATTGAGTCGTTTTTTGATTTTCATCCGATTGCGGTGATGATTTAGCCAAACTTTCGTCGACAACAGTTGTAGAACTTTTTGTCAAAATTGTTTCGGAAAACATATTCTGTGGTTGTACATTAGTTAAACAATGTTCAATTTCAATTGTGATTGTGCTTTCACTAGCGTTAAGATCATCAGTTATCGAATGTGATGGAGATTTTAAATATGAAGTTTTGACTTGATCAGCAGAGAAGGAGACGAATTCCTTAACATTTGACACTGGTTCAGCATTTGTATCATGTTTATGAATATCAGTTGGTGACATATCGGGAAGATCTTCTTGCAACGACTTATCCAAAACATTTTCATCAACAACAAGTTCGTGTTCAACATTATCATCATCATCATTGAACATAATAGCATCATCGCATGTATCGACAGTCAATGGAATCGGTGAAATTACGATAGGAGCATCGTTAGGTTTAACGACAACCACTTCTTCCTTGATTGTATCTTGTGCTACAAATTCAATCTCCTGTACAGCGGCTTCAAGTTCTTGATCATCAACGACGACAACATCAGTAACGACAGTCTGATGATCTCCAGCACTGGTAACGGTACCGGTAGAATCGGAAACTTCCATGACAACAGGTCTATTATCAACAGATTGTTGTAAAACTACTGATTCGCTGTTATTTGGTGAAATAATATTCAAAAAACTGGGAATCGGTAGCTCATGATGAGAATTATTCGATTCAATCTCACCGGATTGAGTGATGTTTGGTTCTTCCATTGCACATGGATCATTCATATCTTGCAACAATGCAGCCACGGCAAGATCATCTTCGATTTTCCGTTGGCATTCAATCTCAGAATTAAATTCCGTGTTGCACTTATTATGTTCTTCATTCATGGAAATTTTAGTAAGATGTTCAGTTCCTTCAGCATTGTTGAAAATGGTCGTAGTTTGATTATCATCAGATTTCGAAGATATTGGTGATGATGAACGAAAAGATAATTTTTCGATATTTGTTTTTTCCTGATTGTTAGTCGTATCGAATGGTGAAAATAAAAATGAATGATGCATGATGTCGATTTTGCTTTCTACACATTTGGAATTTACTGTTTCTAATTCTTTTTGCAATTTTAGCGATTGAATGGCCACTTCGTCTTCACAGCTGCGATGTTTTTGTTCGAATGGACTAGGTGATTTGGTTGAATAAGGATCGTTACCACTGATTTCACCCGGCTTCACCAGTTGTCCAAACGAAGTTTGTACAGATAACATGATGTTGAAATCATTAGTATGAGATGTCGTAGGACTTACGGAATCATGTACAATTGAATCCGATAGACAAGAATCTGATGATGAATTCTCGTTACAATGTCGCAATATTGTTTGACTTTCGTTGATGAGATCTTCATCAATCTTACTATCAATATAAGAACTTTCATCATCAACATGTGAAATAATAATATTTTCCACGTAATGTGATGGAGACGATCTTGGGCTTGAAATTTCTGGAGTTTTAGGTGGCGGGGATGCAATCAGTATGGATGATTTCGATGGATCCAACAAATTGCTACCGCTGCGACACGAATTAGCATCTTGATTGGATGATGGTGGTGAGGACATACTCAGAAATAGATTCAATTCATTGAAATGCATAGATGATTTGCAAGGATGACGTTGATCATAGGATGAATGATTGCTGGTCTTATCACTGCTATCATTACTGGCAGAATCTTTGCGAATCTTTTCCTTGTCCTTGCTTTTACTTGATTTCTTTTTCTTTTTGCTAACATTTTCTTTCATTGAATCACAATTTGAATCATCGTATTTGCTAATTTTTTGATTCTCATTGATCATTGAAAAAGAACTTTTGCTGTTGATTTTGTTATTCTTGGAAAAGCGGTCATCTTTCATTTTAATGTTTTCCATCATCATTGCAGCCATCATTTCGTGTTTGATGGATTGTTTGTTGGCTTGTTGTTTATCCATTTTGTATAATGATTTGTTCATTGTGTTCACCATACGAGCATCTCTTGTTTCGTCTTTATATTCTTTACAAGATTTAAAAATTTGATGCATAGTTGGCTCCGATTCCGAATCAGTAAGTTTCCAATGATTTCTTGATCGTTGTTTTCGATTATTACTGGTAGAATTGGTCATTGCGGATGCATCGGATGATTCATTATCATCACTAAATATTTCATGTTTCAATTTGTTCATAGTTGACATTCGATTAGAATCCTTTGCAAAACCATCTTTCATGGGTGAACAATGACGTTTTTCTTTCGAAGATGATTTTGACTTCTTTTTCTTCTTCTTTTGGCCACTGCTACTGTTGGAAAAGCATTTTGTCATTTTTTGGCTAACAAAATCACCATCATCATCGCTCTTGATGACGAATGGTCGTTTTTCTTTTTCATTAGCCGATTTGATTTTGCCTTCTTGGATCGATGATGTTTCCTTATGTGATGATAAGGACGACTGCTTCTCTTGGATCTTATTCTTTTTATTGTATTTGGAATGATGATCTTTCAATTTGTTTTGGTTTTCAACCAATTCATGTTTGTCTTTACTGTTGCTGCTGTTGGATAGGCCGAATTTTTCCTTGTCTTTGTCCTTTTTCAATTTCTTCCGTTTTTTAGTAAACTTGGTCAATGTTGATGAATCCTCTGCACTTGATTCATCGACATCTGATATTTTATTGTTGCTGATTCTCGATTTGTTCATTTTGTTGTGTTGAAACGATGATTTAGCCATTTCTGTAGCAGAACTATCGGATGAATCATCAGTGAAAAATTTATTTACTTGTTCTCTTTTCGATTTTTTCAACTTATTCTCTTTGACATTATTATGATAAGATTCCATCATTTCCGAACCGGAATCATCATCATCGTTGACCAACAATTTTTTCGATAATTTTTTGCTATGATGAAGAGACATTGAAACATGTGAAAATGATTCTTCATCACCATCATCATCATCTTCATCAGAAGATGAATCAGATTTGACAATTGCACGCCGTTTTTTCATCAATTTTTTTTGCTTAAAATTATTTCGATCAAAACTTGAATCAGAATCTTCATCAGAATCTTCTGAACTTTTACTATTTTTATTATGATGATGATGATCATCATCATCATCGTCATCATCATCCTTATTACGATTATGTCGTTTATCTTTAAGCTGATTTAGTTTTTGCCGTACATTATCAAGATGATCATTGCCTGTCTTAGCCACTTTTAAACTTTGATTTGCACTTGAACGGGCTTTCACTTTATCATACATGGAAAAATAAATCGGCTCATCATCCAATTCAAACAACTTATTCTTATTTTCTTTATTTTTCTCTTTGCTTTCTTTACGCTTATCTTTCTTTTTCTCTTTGTTATTAGAAGAAGATTCTTGAAAATTCTTCATTTTTTCCTTTGTCGATTCTCTTCTTTCTGACAATTTAGATCGTTGTTTGCTTGATTGTTGATCAGTTTGTTTTTGATTTGTCTGTTCTTTATTATTATCTTTCTGTTGATGATGATTGTTGGAATATTCCTTTTCTTTGTTTTTCTTTTTAATCTTTTCTTTATCTTTGTTGTTTGACGATAAAATCATTTCACTAGAATTGCTACATTTTTTACTATTATTTTTCTCTTTCGATATCGGTGGACTTGACATTTCGCTTTTTGATTCACGAACTGTTTTCTCTTTTTCGGTTTGTTGTTGTTGCTGTTTTTTACAACTTTGTTCATCCTTTGATAATGACGATTCTTTATTCGAATGAATTGATTTTTGTAATTTAATATGATCTTTCAACGAATGATGATGACTGGCACCATTACCACAACTTTCATTGTTATTATTATGAGAACCAGACGACGATTCCGAAAAAGAATTTGAGTTTTTCCGTTCCATTTCTTTTTTATTGATGTTATTTGAAATATTATTACCAATGTTACAGTTGGAATAAGAGAATTCATTTTTTGACGAAATATCATGCTTGCTTTTTATACTGTTTTGTGAAGATTGATCCGGTAAGCTGCAGGATTTGGTAAGAGAATGATCCCTTTTGGCTTGACTTTGATGATCAGATTTACAAGACGAATTGTTTGTTAACGAAGATGATGCTATTTTGTTGTTGATGTTGGGCAAGCTTCCACCATCCAAACTTTTACCAGCAGATGAAATTGAAGATTTGGATATGGATTCAATTTTATATTTTACATCGGCTGTAGGTCTATTCACCGATTGATTAGCAGAATTGTTTGAAACCGAAGAACATTCTTTTCGAATCGCAGAATTCAAAAGGAACAAAGGTGGCCGGCTGCTGTTGACGGATGCTGATGACATGCTTGTAGGTGTATTCGGTGTCGTACTACTGGTTGGTATTGATGATGATCGTGAAAATTGTGGAAACATTGATGATGATGATCTCACTGGCGCTGAGCCGGGCGCAGTGGGCGACGAAAGTGAGGTAGAAGTACCGAGTAGATGATCTTTTTTGATTTGATTTGTACGCGAAGATTCGGAAATTTTACGCGATATTGAGCTGCTCGAAGTAGGAATTGCATTTGTTGATGATGATGAAGATGAAGAATGATGATTATGATTATGATGTGAGGAATGGAACAATGATGATGATGATGATGATGAAGATATATTGGGTGTAGGTGTGGATGATGAAGAGGTTGAGGTTGTTGGTAAAGGATCAAGCGATATATTTTGAATGATCTTTTCGGTGGGCATAACAAGCGGATTTGAAATAGCAGATGTTTGATTATTCGGAAATTTGGGCCGAGACGAGGATAGAATTTTATGTGAACCAATCGAATCAAAATCTAATGATGCGGATACATCTTTTTGCTCATATTTTTCATTCAGATGCTCAAGTCGTTTAGAGTCTTGATCAAAGACTGATGATTTCGTCGACAGGATATTTTTGATCTTATCAGTCGATTCATGTTCATTTGAATTACTATTGTTTGAAAGTAGAGCACTATTGGAATTTGACGATGAATTTGATTGACTTTTCTTTTTGATATTGTATTTACTATAATCAATGGTCGGCGTCTTTTCACTTTTCATGGTCGGAGCTGTACTTGCCGTCCCTGACCAAGCATTATATTTTTCATCCAAAGCTTTGATCTTATCTTCGATCATCAATGTTCCAAGATCAGAATCTGAAACATCATCCAGATCATTTGAACTCTTGGATTTAACATTGAAATCAAAGCTATTTGTCTCAGTAGACAAACGATTATCACGTGAAAATCGATTTTTTGGCACAGGAGAAAGATTGCCCAAAGGACTCATGATGTTTGCAGTTTTGGGTGATGTACTACTTATCGATGTTATTGTTGACGTTGTCGTGTTTGTCAAATTTGGAATGTGGGTGATATTGGTACCACTAGCTGAAGTGCTAGTAAGCGTTGACAACGTTGATGTAGTACTCGTGGTCGAGCTTGTGATCACAATCGATGTGGATGTATGTGATTTGAATTGGTCATTGCCTACAGTCGACGATTTTAATTGAGGAGGTATCGCAAACTCGGGCAAAGGTAAATTCCATGGGCTGCTTGGACCGAATTCCAAATTGGTAATCGTTCGTTGCTGAGATGTTTCGGATGATTTAGAATTTTTATTATTGAGATCATTATCGCAATTGGTTCTGGTTACTAGTTGAGAAATTTTATTATAACGGGCATTGTGACCAGAAAGACGTCGATCACCGATTGAATGATTGACCATTGGAGAAGTAACATCAACAATTCGAAGCGATGTTTGAGTTGGACAACCATCTTTGGTCTTTGGCTTTGTCGAATTTATCGTTGTTAGACTGCTTGTTAATCCAGTGCCAACATTACAACTTGATGATGATGTTGAATTTAATAAATTTCGATTTACTTGTGATTTTGATTGATCTTGTAATAAAGTGAGAACGGCACTTGCCTGCGTTTCACTAAGTTTACCTTCGGCCAAATAATGTTCGAAAATAGGTTTGAGATCTTTGAATGAAGTGTTACCACCATCACTAGCAGCATCATTACAATTCAGTAATTGACTCGTATTGCTAGATAAACTACTATTACTTGGCCGACGTTTACCCGTTGACGAATTGTCCAACGAATTGGTCGATTCGCGAGATTTCTGAAGATGTAACTTTAAATCACTTGATGAATCGAGACTTTTAGATGAGGTAATTCGTGGTTCAACATTGCTCTTGACCACCGATGAATTGGTCACAACATTAGATGAAGATAAACTACCAGTGTGAATTGATGAAACACTGCTGTTGTTGGTAGCAGCCACGGTAGATGAATTGCTTGTTGTAGATGATTGCTCAACACAAGCTAACAGTCGTTTCTTCCTTTCCAGATGTCCAGGAAGATCGGAAGAATTTTCGTCTACAGAATCGACAAGCGAGCTATGTATCGTTTTTCTTTTGACCGAATCATTACGATTCTGATATGCCAACGTCGTAGAAGTTATTGAATTAGTCCTGTGATGTGATTCACGGAACCGATCACGAAAATAATCACGGCTTAGATCTCGATGAGAGCTGTTATTGAGTAAAGAAAAATTCGAATCACTAACATCGGAAACTGAATCAGATCGAGCACGTTGCAAAAGATCCGATGTAGATATAGAATTTTGATGATCACGATGACAACTAGTGTCTTCCGTCGATTTTCTCCTCCACGACTGAGACTGATGATCATTATTAGCATCACTCAAAGTCGAATGTGTTTGACGTTCACTTTCGTGATATGATGATGAATAAGGAATCGCTCTAGGACTAGCTGGTGGACTGACGCTGGAAGTTCGGTCTTGATAATGACTACTTGACTTGGCGTCACGGATCGGACTTCGACTGTTGCTGCTCGTACTGCTGCTGCTACTACTAAGGCCCGTTTTCCGATATTGAGATACATGTGATGTAGGCGACACATCTCGACAATTTTTATTGTAAATCTTTGATGACGAATGGACAGCTCGCCTTAAACTGCCATGACCATCATCATGTGAAGACGATTTGATTTCATCATTTTGTGTTGAACCACGATTAGACCGGTGAAAAACATCGGAATCCAATTTGGATGAATTGCTATATGATGAACCATATGGACTTGAATCACGACGAATTTTGGGACTTGCGTCTGATAGGAAATTTTCGGACATGTAGTGAGACCGAGATGATGAGTAACGAGAATCTCGTTTCGAACTTGAGCTGAGATGCGATTCATCATCAACATCGTCGACATCATCTGCGGGCGATTCATATCGACTATATGATGGTCTCGACGAAGATCTACATGAATTGGACGAATCGTGATGATATTCATATTTAGATGATATTCGATTGGTGTTACCGCCGTGCAGTGTTGACTGAGTTAATGATGAATGACGAGGATTGAATGAGTTGGAGAATGGTGTCAAGTTGTCCGTTGGTGATGATGGCGATTGTGAACGCTGTCGCATCGATGAATACGAAGAACTGACACTATTATTATTGTTAGATCTCACTTGACATAACGATGATGATGAAGACCTTGATGATGACGACTGATGGTGATGATGTAAAGAGGTATTACGGTTACGATCATATGATGACCGTTCGTCATAATCAACGGAATTGGCACTCATCCATGATCCGGATCGGCCACGGCCATGGCTATTCGTTTCATTTGGTTTTGCGATCTTATGCTCCATGAAATATGTTTGAAAATCACGACTGGCCAATTCGACCTCTACTCGTCTACCGTTGATCATTTTTGCCTTCAAATCATCTACAGCTTTATTTGCTTCTTCGCGGGTTTCGAAAAAACATAATGCTGTTTTTTGTTCATGATCCTGAACCATTTTTTTCACTTGGCCATACTTGTTCAAATACTTTTCGATGGCTTTCAGATCACAGAAAATTTCCTTGAAGTTTCCAATACATATGCAACTGGAATGGAAGCTTTTTCCATAGCCAAGTTTTAGTCTTGTTGAACCCATAAATTCGTTGTCGTATTTTCTAATTGCTTTCACTACTGATGGAATATCGCTATATCTTATAAAGGCATACGGTTGGTTCTGTTTCTTTATTTCAATATCCTGATTGCAAAAAAAAGAACAATTACAACAAAAATTCATCATGAGATTTAGTCAACTAAATTTTTTTTCAAAAACTTACAAGTATTTGGCCGAATTGACTGAATCGACTGGACAGGTCATCTTCGGTAACCTCTTTGTCAAGATTTCCAACAAATAAGGTTCGGGTAGCTCGCGGATGACAGAAATTTTCATAATCTTGATCGTTATCATTCGATTTACAATCATCAATTATTTCTAAATAATCACATTGGGTTACATCCACTCGACTGCCCAAAAATTGTTTGTCCTAGAAAAATAAAATAATCGTGATTATTATGAGTAATTAAGATCAATGTATCAATATAATGATAATGATTGTATGTTTTCAACTTACATTTGATTCTTTCATTGCTCTCTCAGCTTCCTCGGGCTTACTAAACACAACAACAGCGAAACGATCAAAACCTTGACCACGAATGAAGGTATTTACAATTTTCCCATATCTTTTGAATTCGTAAAAAAGACTATCTTTAATATTCGAATCTTTGTTTAGGAAGAAAAATAAAACGATTGATTATTGTAATGATTGACAAATAAAAAACATGAATGATATATTCCAACTAACCAGTTAAACGATGAGATAATTTTCGAACACAGATTGCTGTGGTGGCTTGTCTTAAATCTTCACGATCATTTGATGATGCAATCGACAAGCGATCATCTTGAGGAGAAGAAGATACACCGGGAAAATTTTGATGTCCTCCTCCGACGGATGATGATGATGTTGATGATGAACCACCTGAACTAGCAACACCACAATTATGATGATGTGTCGATGAAGCTTGCACTGAATTATTATTAGTATTAGTATTATTGACGATATTGTTTGTATTAGAAGTTTCGTGAGATAATGTCGAATTTGAATTATACCTATTATTCAATGAATGATTAGAAAAATATTTTAAATAAGAAAATTAGTTGAGAATCATATGCTTTTTGAACAAAAAAGAATGTAGAAAAGATATTAAAAAACGTTTTAGCATCACGTATATTCCAATCCTGATAAATGTTTTTTCTTTGCTTATTATCGCTCGTATTTACGTGTGTAGTAAATGTATTATAGATTCGTATATGAAAATAACCATGTGACTCATCGCGTGGAATACTTACAAAGTATGAAATAACGAAATAAACGCAAGCATATCTTGAACGCGGATAATGGTAAATAAGGACCATTTTTTTTACTCACACTCAAATGGATATACCATCATTATAATAAGCATATTTTCATTGACAAAATGTTTATGACTATAGCCTAAATTTTCTTTTGCTTATAATTTGAACAAAAAAAAACGAATTCTTGGAAATTGTGAGACCAAAAAGAAAATGAAAAAAAAGACGGGACGTTTTCGATGTTATTGAGGAACATTTTCACTGAACGATATAAACAACCAAAAAAAACCAAGAAAATACAGGGAAATTTTTGTGTTTATTTTTTATGGTCTCACTAGAAAAATGCTTGGCCTTGATTCTTTTTGCTTTGTTGGTGTGTATGATTAAATTGTGCACCACACATGTGATTTTTTACCCGCCAAAAGGCAATATTTTTTTTTGTGGCCGAAAACATAAATACAAAAAAAAAGAAGAAATTAATATTATTCAACGATGAGAGAAAGACGAAAAACGAATGGAACCAAACAACGATTTGGAATCGTGAGGTGAGAATAAATGAAAAAAAAATCTCAAAACTAAATCCATGTTCATGCGGTGTGAATTTGCTATACATTTTGAATACATATTGTTCTTTTTTTATTCAAAAAAATATATGAACCCTTAAAGAACATCGTAAAAATTGAAAATTCTTTCTTCATGACCAGAAAAAAATTTCATTATTATCATTGTAAATATAACACACATATTCATATAAGGAAAATTTAATTCAATTTTCCCTCTCTTTTTTTTCCTATAAAATTCAACAGGAAGAGATTTTATTCTATTTTTTGGGATAAAAAACGTTGTGATATATAATGAAGAGAAGATCAAAGAATTTCTCTCAAAGGGTTTTGCATTATCATCATTATTCTGATTGGGTTGGATTTTCAATTCAAAATTTTTAATGATGTAAGCGAAATTGTTATTTTTTTTTGTATGTTATTGCCGTCATTTTTCGTCCTAACAAAATTCTTGGAAAAACCTAAATCTGTTTTTTTTTGTCAATTATTTTCTCGTGTTGTATAATACACAATTGTGTTATTCTATATAGACAAATGTCAATCATAATCTATGGCAAAACACAAAAAAAAACCGAATATGACCGATTATATTTTGGAAAGACGAAAGAATTTTTTTTTTCGTTTTACTTTATACGAACAAAGCTTTCACCTTTTATTATTATTATTATTATCAAAAAAGAATAAACGGTCAGATTGATTCGCTGAATTAATCTTCGGGTTCGATTAGAGCGAAAAAAAAATGAAAAAGGTCTAGGGTGTGGTTTTTGGTATAGGCTTTTAGTTTATTTTTTGATATTCAATCGAAACTGAATCTTCATTTTTTTTTCTTTTGATGGATATAGTATAAAAAAGATAATGAACATTGTGTGCAGAAGGAAATAATGTTTGTCAAGCTTTACATTAATTTTTTTAAATTTTGTTGCTTTAAAGGAATCCATGAAGTAACAGAATTCGGTGCCCGAAAAAAAAACTGAACAGAAAAAATTACAAGGGTACCCACCAACACCCTTGGCTGTTTGTGCGACTGGTTTGATTTTCATTGATTTTTTCATTTCATTTCATTCTACGCCTATGATTCATTTATTTAGTCGTTGTTGTTGTTGTTCGCAATTGATTTTTTTTGTTAATGGTTTTTTTTCCACAAACTAACTTAAAAAAAGAAAATCACTAAATATAATGACAATTTTTTTTGTCTTTAATGTTGGTTGAATTTTTTTTTCTGAGCTAATCAATGAAGAGAAGGAAAAAAATAAATAGAGTTCAGAATATTCCAAGAACAAAGTGTCATTATTCATATGCAATCTAATCATAAAATGTAGCCAACAGAATGAAATGATCCATGAATGTTTGCCGTTTACGAATAAGCAAAAAAGAAAATAGACAATTTTGGAAAAAAAATGAAACCTCAAACAATGATAATGAATTAACAATTAAAATATGAACGTTTTCATTTCATTTTATATTTTGTTTGTTTGTCGTTTTTTCCACCAACAACATTTTTTTTGAATGTCAACCGTCAAAACATAACGAATGAAAATGATAATGACCACAAGTAGCAAGAGAGTGACAGAAAAAGTCATGGAAAAAACAGCCAAACACATACAGACACAAGTCATTCATAATATTTGCGTTCCAAATGGATTCACATTCGTTATTAAAGCTTTTCTTTACTATTTTTTACGTTGCAAAACTGAAAAGAAAGAAAGGAAAAAAAATGATACAAGGATTGTGAATGGTAAACGCAGGTGAAAATGTAAATTTGTCATCGCTGCATTGCTGTTATTAATGGAACATCTTTTTTGTTTTGTTTTGTTCAATTTCACAGAATACATACAAAAAAAAGTTTCGTCCACTAATCATTTTTCTTCTAGAAATGTTTCATTCAACAAAAAAAACAAATGGCATTTTTGAAACAATGTTTGTTTTCTTCCTCTCACACTTTTTATCACACACACACACATTTTATTCAGTTTAACTTTACTCGTTCCAAGTGAAAGATATAGAGAAAAAAAGGATGTGTTGGACAATGAAAGAGTGATAGAAATAATAAAAATTTTAAGGATTCTTAAATGTTTGTTTTTGATTCATGATTTTGGTAAAATGACTATTATTATCTCGTTATATATTATATATGATGGAAAGAAAAAAAAAACATTATCTAGGTCAAGTCGAATCTCTGTCTCACACAAACACTTATTTGAAGAAATTTCTAGATAGAGAAAATCTATTGAGATAGAGCGAGAGAGAGAGAAAGAGAATGATTGCTTCCTTATTTCAGAAAAATTGAAAAGAGAGAAGTAAATGACCAAAAAAACCAAATAATAAAAGAGAAATAGACGCCATTTCATTTTGAATTTCTGTTTGTTGTTGTTTTTTGTTCCCAAAGTAAAATTCATTATATATGGAGTATCCATATAGTTTATTATTACTATTATTATTATTTTTTTTTTGAAGGAAAAACATTGAACTCTTCAAAGTTTTTTCTTTTCTTGAATTCATTGAAGTTTTTTTTTCTCTCTTCCATATCCAAATCATACAGGATTTGTTTTAAGCATATGTTTATGTGTGTGTGCGACTATATATTTGAATATATACTATTTCACTCTCTCATAAAATTGGTTTTTTTCACAGTTATCTTTCTCTATAACTGATATTTTTACTTTACACAAAAAAGAAAATAATTTTGTCCTTTGAAGATGGAAGCAAAAAGAAAAAAAAATTCAATATAAACAACAACAACAATCCATATTTGCACATGGCAAAAACCAATTTTGAAAAATGGTATGAAAAAAAACAAAAATCTACAATTAATTCGATATTATAACGAAGAGAACACTAAAAAAATGTGTGGTGTGTCTGCGTGGTTTTGGAACCAAAAAAAAAAGACAAATTCGTATAGATATTGTTGCGTAAATGTTTTCTCTCTCTCTCTCTTATTTCTTGTTATCGACACATACAGAAAAGTGACATGATTTTTTGATTGTCTAAAAAAGAACATTTAACTAGTTCAATTTGCCTCTCTTTTTTTATGAATGAAATTTTTGTCTACGATAAAATATTAAGATCATGATAATAATATCATTATTATGGTCACAACATCATTGAAACAACAAATGACACGTCAAGCGATAATCAAAATAAAGTTTAGTTATCATCTGTGTGTGCGTGTGTAATTCAAGAACAAGCAGATGACTTTTATAACTTGCAAAAAAAAATCCTGGTCATTTGCAATGAATAAACACATCTAAACATGATAATTATATTCTGAGATGTCTGAACTCAATTTTTTGAAATAAAAATCAATCAGTGAATGAAAAGAAATAATATATTACCTGCTGGGCGTATGCCTTCCATAAAGTGAAGCATTCGAAGACAATGATGTGGTGGCTGATGTTGATGATGAGGACAAGGTGCAAGATGATGATGCGGCAGCAACAGCAGATGTTGCGGAAGATGTAGCCGATGTCGTGCTACTAACTGTGCCCGAAGATGTTGCAGCAGCAGCTGTTTGTTGCGATACATTCGTTGTCGCTAACGATAATGTTGGCTGTCCGGTGGTGATATTGTTGTTGTTGGAAGATGACGAACATGATGAAGTGGATGAAGATGCTGGTGCGACAGTCGATGAGGATGATGCCGCTACGGCTGTCGATAATGATAATGATGATGTGGACGAAACTGCCGCAGAACCCGAAGAGGAAGATGTAGATGATGAGGCAGCGTTGATAACCGTCGAAGCATTATTGGTATTATTATTATTATTATTGGTAATAATGGTCGTCGTCGTTCCACTATGTAACGATTTTGATGACAAAAGATCATTATTATGATGTTGATGGATATGCCTATGAGGCTCATAATAATCGGTTTTAAGTGTACGCTCTTCGATTTTATTCTCTGAGCTATGTGCTTTGGCTGCCGATTTTATATCAATGAATGCTACGGTGGCACTAACGCTACTACACACCATACTGCCATTAGTAGTACAGTTCGGTCCGTTTGTTGTTGTCGTCGTTGTACCATTGTTATTGTTGTTGCTTTCGGTAGATAACAATCCGGATGCGGAATTTGATTTGGGAAATATTCGCACACTCTGTACTTTTCCGTACCTAAATTAATAAAAGAAAAAAATCATTTCATTAGAATTCGTTCAAAGACAAATATTATTAAGCAAATAAAAAATCTAGAAATATATCAATCGATACTATAAAAATCAATATATTTTAATCAATCACCAATAAATAAGAATTCTATGTGGATCTATCTCCATTGTTATAATGATAAACCAATTGATGATTAATAAAAATGGACAGAGAAAAAAATAGGAAAAAACAAGATACAGTTCCAATTTCTAATTAATGTTTATCAATGAAAACCAAATGTACAATGGTATACGGTATTTGTCGATTCTTTGTTGATTCTAATCAATGAATTCTTGAAATAGTCGTTTGTTTGTTTCTAATTCTATCTCTTTAATTCAGTTTTTTTGTTCATCCATTTTCTATTTGTCAGAGGTTGGAACTTTGTTTTTTTTGTTATCACGATCATAGTATGATTTTGAAAGATACAGGGTGAATTCGTAACTTTATTCCAGAATCAGAAAGCTTATAGATATGATCATAAAACCAACATCATGTCTATTCATCAGAATAAAAGAATGATACAAAAAAAAAGTCAACCAACAAATTGAATGGAAACGATCAAGAAAGCTAAATTTTTATATTATATTTCACGCTAGTGAAGAAGAAAAAAATTCCAATGTATTTGTCAAGTTTTTCTTTCTTTTTTTTGTTGTCAATCGAAAAAAATAATCAATTGAACCAATCTAATTGAACAAAACTCTTCAATCATCATCATTATCAGTGAATAGTTTAAACTCGTAAACACACAAAGAAAAAATTGGACAAAAAAAAGAATCAAAATAGTAAAGTCGTAGAAAAGGAAGTGATGGACGATAATGTCAAGTGGAAGGCCGATATTTTCTTTGATTCATTTTGATGATGATGATGGTGGTTTTAAAAAATGAAGAGTATCGGTTACGAAACGGATCGATGATTCAATCATACAAACAAAAATTCAGTGTTTTTGTTCAAGTAGAAAAAAGAAAAAAATCAAACAAGAATAATAAAAATGATGGGTAAATTTAGCAGAAACATTTATTTTATTTTTTGTCGAAATCAATGAATGTAAGATTCTGAATAGAAAATTTCGAAAAAAATACTGAAAATGAAAAATCGATAAGATTGTATTCAATGTTCGATATATTTGTTTGTAATTTTTGAAAGAAACAAACACTATTCTTCTTACGATAGTATTTTATTTGGAGTGTGTGTGACTAACACACTAAGTGAACAATGATAATGATGAAAATAAGAGATTCCACAAGAGGAAATACAACACACATAACACAACAAAAGATGATTCAGACTGAGAAAATTTATTTTGGACAAAAATGAAATGAATAACAAAGTTGTAATGGCAGTATTATATTACTACCATTGCACAAAAAAAATCACTGACAATTACTACATGTTTGATGGAGTCAATTTTCAAGGACAAATTTAAATTTTTTAAATTCAATTTATTTATTGTAAAATTTAGCATCATCATCATCAATGATTTTATAATGGATTTTTTTTTAATCTTTCCTTAACTAAAAATAAGTAAATAATAATAAAAATGAAGGGAAAAAACCCGAAACAAACTGATCTGACTAATCAATATCAAATTACAATGAAGGTAAATTACGGAATTTTTTTCTGTTTAATTTAAAAAAAAGTTGCATTGTAATAAGAGAGAGAGAGAGAGAGAGAGAGAGAGAGAGAGAAAAACAGTTCCTACAATAATTCATCAGAAACTGGAAAATGACTAATATGAAAAAAAGAAAAAAAACAAACAGTTAGAGATGTCAATGTCATCATAATAGTATGACTTTGTCATGTAGCGAACTACTAAACAGCGTTTATGATTGAATTTTTAGATACGTAGGAAAAAATCCCCATTAACAACAACGACAACAACTTACAACTACAACGACAAATACGTCAAAAATAAATATCACACAAACAAAAACACAAACAAAATTATAAAAGTGTCCAGAAACTTATACGTGAAAAGGATACCAAATAGTTGATTATTTTTCTGGATTGCTAATCATCATCATGATCAATGATCCCTTCTCGTTACAACAACAACAAGCTTTAATGCTATTAATAAAACCAAAAAAAAATATTGTGATAATCGATAATATCAATTGATTTTGTTTTGTTGATATTGTTGTTGTTTTTTTTGTTTTGGAATAAATTTTAAGGATAAGTAGAACGAAAAATTGACAAATGAACAAAAACCGAACACAAGTGTTCCAAGAATTGTGTAGATTTTCATTATGATTCATCTCGAGAATAAATTGTAAGAAAATGAGAAAAAAATAATAATTTTTTTCCATTATTATGAAAATAAAAGGATTAGGTTTATGCGTAGGTAAACGAATGAATTGAAATATTCAAACAAAACAAAAAAAACTATACGATTAAAATTCTAAATAGCTTCATAGAATTCATCATTCAAACAAAGAACAAAAATAATAATAAAATTTAATTGTCAAAGGCAATTTCATCATTTTAAAATGAGGGGTACCGCTTGACACTATTGATTATAATTATGATTACTTCACAGAAAAAAACGATTGAAAATGATAAAAATTTGGGAATCATGATTCATCATCATTAGTAAATGAATCGAAAATTCATTTGTAGTAACAAAGAATAATTTATATTGTTGAACATATTGAAAATGAACAAAAAAAGAATTAGACAATGATAAAAATATCATGATTGAAAACATTTGAAATTTTTTGCGGTACAATGAATAAAGAATTTCATTAATAATGAGACAAATAGTGAATGAAAAATCGTGCCAATTTTCTTTTTGTTTTAGTAAAAAAACAATCAGGATTTATTGTGTCATGTACAAACTATAATATTAATTTGGAATAATGATACATGTTTAAAATGTATAGTGATTTCTTGGAAATCATAATCATTATCATTTTTATTTTTAAAAAAACGATATATTTGTTTAATTAGTCGTTGTTTGATTTTTGGGTGGCGGTTTAGAGGTAAAAATGATAGAGAAAATGATTTTCACTAATGAAAATGTTCGAAAGAAGGTCAGAGTTATGATCAAAAAAAAAATATGAATAGGATTCAGATTCGAAAACCATTGAGCTCATTTACAATGCTTTTTTGGTTTTGTTCAAAAACAAAAAGGAATTTTCTTAGTAAGCAAAAATACTCTCTCTCTCTCTCTTTCTATGATAATTTCTCTGGTTCACATTCAATCCTCCTTTGGTTATAGATAATGATGGAAAAAAATTAAATTGCAAATGAAATGAAAGCAAACATGAACAGATGGTATGAACCATCATGAACAAAAAGAAAAAAAACTACAATAGAAACGATTACTATGGTGGATGATATTCATTTTTTTGTTGTTGTTTTGTTTCCTAAAGCAAATGGACAGCAAAAAAAAACTATGCCAAGACATCGCTATTTAAAAATATGCAAAAACGACAAACTGGATGTGTATATAATAATAATGTTGAAGAATGAAGATGGATACGAAACGTGAAAAGCTGACAGATTGACAAACACAAACACACACACACACACACACATATATGCATAAGAAAATGAATTCCAGAAAAAATCAAGCGAGAAAGAGTCACATGTGTCCACACAAGATTAACAAATGTTGAAGACAGCAACACAACAGAGCAACATTTCCTTTTCAGTTTATGCATCCAACATATTACAATAACTACTAAAAGGAGACATTATTTGACATTGTTGTTGTTCATTTTGGAATCCATTACAGTATATATTCATTTTTCAATAATGATTTGAAAATGTAAGCCTATCGGAAATCTAACAATAATAATAATGCTGCCATTATTATAATATCGGAATTTGAATCTGAAAATGGATCTTGGCATTTTTTTTTTTGTTATTTTTTCTCATTATTATAAGAGGCAGCAATGGAATAAAATGAGAAAATCTTTTAAATTTTCAATAGAATCAATATGGTAATGATAAGAATAACAATTTTTATTTTTCATAGAAAAACTATCGATTATTTCATTTATGTAACGATTTAAAAGCTGAAATATAGTGTGGAAAAAATACCATACTTTGTGTTATTCGTTTAGGTAAAATAGAATGGGCAACAAATAAAAAATGTAGTTATGGTAACAATTGACAATTTTTTTCAACAAAAAAAAACCGATTCTATGGATTTTCTAATGGGTGCAATATAGAAAGGAAGAAAAACTAATGATTATAATAGACAAGTGAATGATTGTATTCAACATAGGTCATTATTTTTTCAACAACAACAACAAAAAAAGAATAGAAAAACCAAATAAAAAGAAAGAGAAATATATCCCATGAAATAATCGGGCTACAGAATCATAAAAGTTTCAATGGCAACTAAAAGCATATGGAAACTACAATCAAAAATATTCGGGCGTTGTTTGTCCATCTATTCACAAAAACATATAAAAACAATATGACAATCATGAATGAGGGGAAAAAAACAAGACAAAAATTCGCTATCTGATTCACAATCATATTGAGGCTTATTATTAAATGCTTCTTCTTTTACACACACACACACACACACACATACAAATATATTAAAAACTGGAATTTTATTATTATTAGAAATTGGTCAAACAAAATCAAACAATACAATGTATATTATTATTATTATTATTACGATAATTGACCATGGAAACAAACAAACAAGAAAAAAAATACAGTAATAATATGATACATATTAAATATTTGATTTTGGATTCTTTATCCCATTCGATTATTAGTAATGATAATGATGATGATAACTATTAATAATCAAGAACAAAAATATTCATATGTAAAAAACAAACACATACACACCAAATCCTACGATAGAATCTATCAATATCCCGGTCAAATGAAATCAACATGAATTTTGGTAATTTTTTTGTGACATTTACACTTTCAGAAATTTTAAATGATAAGAAATATTAAACTAGACTACTGATATAGAGAATTCAATTAGACTAAATAAATGGATTCATTTTTTTGGGATCTCTATATGTAGAAGTGTTTTCGAGTACTTTTTGGTATCCAAACCAAGCTGTTCATATTCCATATTAAATGTTTTATATGACAGGTTTTTTTTCCTCGTAGATAACCTACTCCTTATCAATGTTTTTCATTTCGATTATTT